GTCTGTGTGTGACGTTAAGAAATATATCAACATATTTATAAGTCATTCTCCAAGTTTTGTGGCCTTTAAAATTGAGTGAGTAATTTCTTATAGTTATTATCTAAACATTTCTCTGATTTCTTGTAGAACCTTGTTTAACAGAATTTTGCCGTACTTGACTTTGTAAGTCGAATTTCATTTCGAACAGCGTCAGAAAGCCTCCGTCGAAAAAATTCCTTCAATATCGCAACCAAATTAAATTCCGAATAATTTCTTGGGGAATTCCCCGCGCCATGTAACAATTTTCAACATTATTTGCCCCTTTGTAATCCGACGAAATTAAAAGTGAATTCCTCTCCACCAAAGGGGGCGCAATGTGGAAAAAATGCGCATTATGAGGCGGAGGCCAGCTGCCGATTCAGGACTCGGCATGAGATTGAGATTCCCGGCAGCTGTGCTGATTGCACCGAGCAAATTGCAACTGCAATGGCTTCGATTGATGGCAAGTGTTTGAGTTTGGCTTGCCAATTCCCTGCTGGCCGATCTCCCGATTTCCCCGACCCCCTGTTTTCCCCGGAGGTTTTCCAGTTTTTGCTATGGGTTTCTGTTTCTGTTTCTGCGTCGTCGCCTTTCCGCCTCGACTAATTTTGATTCAGATGCGGCTGCTGCTGTTTTTTTGTTGAGTTACTGATGCTGATGCGGCCATAAATTTCCGATATTGTTTCGCTTTTGTGTGTTTTAATTTGCGTTTCGCTTTTCGCTTTGCTGCATTTTCATTTGAAATTGGCCATAAAATATGCAAATGAATGCGGTGAGATGTATTCCTCTTTTGCTTTTACTTTTTTCACTGCCAAATTGATTTACTAGTGCATAATTGCGCATACGCCGTGTGGCGGGCGACTTGGTTCGGTGGGCAGAAGAGACAATATTTATATGACGTCGCCGTGGTAAAACACCAAATAAATAAGCGAAACATATAAATTACAATGCTTATCAGGCAGAAAACGAGAAATGCAAATGCGGGCGAAGGGAGATTTGTGACAAACATTTTCAATTTAAAAAGTGACAACACCGCCAGTGCCATTTGCAATTCGCAATTTGCACTTCATTTGCCATTCACTCAGGTCCGTCTGTATGCAGTTAAAGAAACTTTAATTTATTAATGATTTTTTGATTTATGAATGATTTAATTTTGATTAGGAGATATTAAAGTATTCTTAAATCAATCAAGAAACCTTTTTTAAAAATAAACATATTTAGATTTGGACTAGTAAATATAAAAAATTAAAAAAATACTATCTTTGTTTATGAAATTTAATTGGTCTTTAAATTGACGTTATTGGCTTATTATTTTGTATTATTATTTCTATTAGTTTGTTTTTATTTAAGAGGACTTAAATGGAAATATGATTCGCAAGTAAATGAGCTGTTTCTCTCTGTGGACATGTGTGTTTCTCTGCCTTCCTGTGTGTACTTGTGTGCAACTGACACAACCGCGAGTCGTGTCTGTTCATTATTTCATTTGTACATTGTGTTTATCGGGGCATCTAGCATTTATTGCCGCCCCACCGACCTCCGACCTCCAACCGTCGACCTCCGACCCTTTTGCATTGACCACAAGCAAACCAACTACGTGCTGGCAGCTTGTATCTCATTTGCAAACAGTTACCCACTCCCGACCGCTGCCACGCCCCCTCTGACAACCCTGCCCCCTTTGAATCTGTTGCAGATATGGTGCCGCACCACAGCCACCGGACGGAGGCGCCTCCGTAATTATCGCGCTGCTCGACAAACTCATCGAGGATGGCCGCAATTACAGCTTCGAACTGGTAATGTGCCTGAAGATTCTGCTGCGCAATGTGGTCATGATTGAGATGCCCTTTAAGGTGAGTAAATAAGCAATGAATAATGTTTCCAATTATCTGGAAATCATAGTGGCACATACTGAGAGAAAGCTAATCAAATGGTTCGAACTTAATTAAATAATAATAATAATGTAAATGTCTTGAAAATAGTCTTATACTTTCATTTTCACTAATTATGAAACATTTGATTATTTAAACCTTTTTTTCCTCATGGGTTATTTTTAATTTCATATACAAATAAAATATAATATTCCTCTTCTATTATCCCTTTTCAGCCCCTTTTATACGCCTCCCGAAGAGAGATGTTCTTCGACCGCTATGGCCGCCTGTTGATGGACAGGGTTATTGGCAAGGAGCAGGTCTACGGAGTGCCCAGTCTTCGTCACTTATGCCGGTAATTATCAATCCTAAACTGCCATTTTCTCAGGGGGGCGGAAAGGAAACTCCTTGGAACACTTGACTTTGTGGCTAACAATGAACTGGCCACGTCCCTTGGCCGGAAAAGGGCATTAGAAAAGGGAGAATGGAGTCTGACATCCATAATAAGTTTACTTTTTTATTCAATTACTTTGGCTTAGGTCCGCCACGCTTGCTTAACTTCCTACGGGCAGACAATTCGGCGATAAGCCCGAAAAATGAAATAAGCATAAGACAGGAGCCCGAGCAGACTGGCTGACAAACTGACAGAATGTCTGGGCCTTAAGTTGACAAGTTTCCCTCATGCTGTCGCCTTTGTCATGTGGCTTAGTGCAAGTTTCGCCCTTCTTTCATGTATTCTATCAAGTCGAGTTCGAAACTTTCCCACTCGCTCCACTGACTTGGTCACAATGTAGTCAAATGTCGGGGCAACTTAATGAATTAAATCGATGCCAAATTCTTTGCCACTTTGATCGGAGTTTGGTCGAGAAGTTTCTTTGGGGCCGTTTTAATTCGATAAGTTGACGTCTGCCATTGATAAGGGGTCCCAGCACATACATATGTGCCATTTATTTGCCGAGCACTCGCTGACCCGGCACACAAATATACAAATATACAAATATATTTGCCTCCGCTCACGTGTCACAAAAATGTCCATTGACTTTGGCTCTCGTTTCAACTTGGAACCCTTTTTCCAGCTTGTGTGCCAGTTTGTTTTCCTCTGGCCAATGTTTGCGCTGTGAAAACTCGCGCTCTTGGCCTGCATTTTCCACAGTAAAGCTTTGATGGAGGGACAGGAAAGTTACAAGAAATGTATTTATTCTTTATTATATTTATTCGGAATAATCAAATTGAATTTTTAAATTAATGTTAATTGACTTTATGACTTTATGTAAATTAAGTTTCCGTAAATATAAGCATTCGTTAAACAAATATATTAAAAGCATAATTTATTTTGTATTTTATATTAATTTTCATGTACTTTTTACTTTTCTTTCAATTACATTTTCCACTGTTTTTGCAATTGAGTTGGCGTCCACTTGTCGAGGCTTCAAGTACCACTTGGATGTGTTTCAAAATGAAGGTTTTTGCTCTTGATTTATAGGGTCTGTGGCAGTTTCTTTTGGCTGTGATTCTTGTGATTTCAGTTTATGCAAATCTGTACTGGCACCCGCACTGAATGCATGCATTACGCACTGACCCCGATATCAGCGACTCCCAGCCAAAATATGACGATTGCCGTAATAAGCGGGTAGTTGCGTATACGCCCTGTTGTCCTGACTTCCGGAGTGGCGCCCACAAGTAGGCAACGATTTTGTTCCTCTTTTTATGGCTGCTCAGTGGCTTCATTCTTTCCCCTGGTGTCAGCTTGCTTTATTGATTGGTCGAATTTTTCGTTGGCCATAAAAGAGCCAAAATATTGCCAGAACAGAGAAACTTGACGGAACAAATTAACGAGGACATAAAGTGCGGAGTTCCAGCAGGATCTCCCCTGCAACCGATTAGCATGTTGTTAGGCTCTCCCTGCTTTTTATGACGCCAATTTGGTTCTTACTTTCCCAAAGAATTTTGGACAAGTTGCCGCAGCTCCCGTTGCCGAGTTATCAACAAGCCACTTTAGAGCAGGCTTCACATACTGGGAAACTTTTGTGAAAGCTTTCACTGCGCCTCTAAGTGGAAGGGGCAAAAAGAATCCGCCACCAATATCCGCTACTTTAACTTCTTCCTCTAGTTTTGCAGTCAACTTTAGTGGAAGTTCCTGCCCGTATTTTTTCGCTTTTGTTGCCTTTCACCCACGAGAAAAGTTTTAAGCACATGAACTTTGTTTGCTGCGAAGATTTTTTTGTTTGCCGTATGAGCTTATTGTGTGAAACTTAAATTAATTTATGAAATATCCCGCTGAGATTGACAGGAGCATTGCCTAAGGCGAGATAATATACCAAAATATCTTGAGCATCTTGAAAAGACTAGGACAGCTAACTGTTTTCCAACTTCCTTATCGACATGTCTTTAAATCATTTGTAAAAGTCAGAATTCTTTCCTCTCTGATTAAGTATCTTACAAAGAAGTTTTCAAGTCAATCATTTTTCTGAAGTTTTAATGCTTTATGAGCGCCAACCTTACTTATTTTCTATTTGGAATGAAATGTGATTTTTCAACAGATTAAAAATGAAAGTATTCTTCTTTTACTACGACAAGTTTACAGAATATTATATATTATATTATAATAAATAATGAATAATGTATTATTCACCTTTAACCCACTTTCCAGCTGCTGCATTCGCGATGTCCTGCGGGAGCACAACCAACTGCCCAATGGCATCGACACGTTGAGGCTGCCAAAGCGCCTGCAACGCTATATCGATCTCACCGAGGAACTGGAAGGACCCGAGGCACAGGACCCGGAGGAGCAGAATAAGGATCAAGGAAAGCCCGCAACCAGATGCAAACTGGAAAAAGAAGTGTCCCGAATGGAAACCATCAGCAGTGCAGGAGAAAGTGAGGATGAGAGTGAGAATCATGTGCAGCTTCTTCAAGCTGTTACGGATCCGGAAAAAGCCGCTTTGGCGGCTTTCGTGGCCACCGGAGATGGGGCTTATACGGAGGAAGCCGAAAACGCGGCTGTGGCTGCTTATGTGGCAGCCTGCCCTCCCGATTTCGATCCCGATTTTCCGCCAATTTCCCTGCCCGGAGAACCCAGATAGCCAGATAGCCAAAAACCTAAGACCTAGCACTCACCGATAGGTTTCCTCGCTGACATTGATGCGGCCGGGAACACCTGTAGTCTCCGTCCTGCTGGTTAAGTTGACCGTATTTCCAAAGAGACAGTAGCGCGGCACTCGGTTGCCAATCACTCCGGTCACCACTTCGCCGGAATGGATGCCTATGGTGATTTGCTGAAAACAAGGACCAAACAAAGAATTTATAACCTTAGAATTTGTAAGATAATTTATCTAGAAAATAAACAGGCCTCGAATTTGTAAGAGAATTTATCAGGCTTCGCAAGATCTTAAAAGGGCACTTCATTGCGCTAATAAACTTTCGCCGGCTAGAGTCCCATCATCAACACCCCGAAAAGTTGCCAACCGCAACGGAATGTAGCTGCAAAAACCAAGCGAAAGTTGCCACAATTACTTTCCAAAAACTTGCAGCAGTAGGAAAAAGTTTTCTTTAATTAAATTTAAAACGAAATGAGCGGCGAGCAAAGAGAAAGAGCCAAATCCCAACCTCCACCCACCAAAGGTCCTTGTTAGTAGGTGACGATGCTGAAATCCAAAAGGGAAAGTCCGGGGAAAGCGAGGGGGGTGGGTGAAATGCAGAGCCAGGAGAATATGTGTAAATGGGTAAAGTGCCAACAGTTCAGAGATAAAAACGAAGGACGAAAGTTGTAATTACCAGAAAAACATTGCATAAAACTAATTGCCAAGGCGACGGACTGCGATAAGCGAAAAATACCAAAACTTCCGAAGACCAAAAGTGCACAAAGTCGAACGCAGAAAGAATTTTGCAAAACTTAATCAAATCAAATCAGTGCACGGCAATGCTGCTGAATGATTCACTCAGCAGTGAGCTTCAAACACAAGTCAATCACTCAGCTTTCCTCTGATTAAGTAATGAAGAAATTGGATAAACTTTTCAGCAGTCTGGAGGCGTTTTGCTTGGATAGTATATAGTATATCTGAAATGTGTAGTATCTCGGAATTTTATGCTAGTTTTTGTCTATGTAATGCTGTTCAGTTTAAAAGAGCAAAAATAAATTAATTTACCATTTTTAAAAGCCTAATAGTAACCTAATACAATTTTTTTAAAGCTTTAAAACTTCAGAAATTCTTTTGGCAAAAACCAAAGACATTCACAGTCAAATTTCTCAGTCTGTTACGTTTCCTCTATCAATTTCTCTCCAATTAAGTACTTCAACATCTTTCGAGAAAATGCTCTGGGCCATAAAATAATATCCATTCTAGTTCAGATCTAGTTTCTGGAAAATTGCTGGTTTATTTTTAAACACAAGCCAAGATGCATGGCAGTTAAGAGAATGATTTCTCCTCGCTTCGCCCTTGGGTGTATAAAACACACAGTAACTGCAGAAAGTTTTTGCTAAAAGCCGAATCAATATTTATGGACTGCAAGCACAGGAAGTAGCCAACAAAGAGTTGAGAAAAACTGGCAGTAAAAGCGGGAAAGCGGGAAAGGGGGAGCTGAGCAAAGTTTTTGCATGAAGAAAAACATCGGTATAATTGGCTTCATAAACGGAGGGGGTGGCGAGGGGTGGGATGACTAGCTGCTGCTGCTTTTTATCAGGATTTAATGAAGCGCAAAATGACGCCAGTGGCGGCGAGGGGATTTTGTACGTGGGTTTGGGGGGAGAGTCCTGTAGAAAGGGCAGTGCAACAGGCTCCGATGTCGTGTCCCAGTTTTTGCTATCCCTCGCCCGTGGCGTTTGTTAATTGCATTTCGAGCGATCCATCAAACGTTGACTCGATTCTCGGATTCCCCTCTGCTTTTGGCCCGCACGAATAGGGGGTTTCCCCCCCGCATTACCAAAAGCAATCAGTCAAATATGAAATACTCACAGCCACAAAAACTTGACTGCAGTTGCGGCGAGGCCAGATGGAAATGGAGAGCAGAGAATAGAAGGAGCTTATGGTGGACGGAACAGATGGATGATCCCAGGACCAGAAGAAGAGCTTCTTCGGAGCACATCCTTTGGCAAGGCGATAAGGTAATGGAATTTTAGCAACAGAAAAACAACAACTATGACAATAAAGCCAAGTGACACGAGCCCAAGCACAAGTTCTCCGATTGTGTGGGTAGTTTTGCCACACGCACACAACTGCAGGGACATATCTTGGGTAGGGTGTACCAATAATTATATTTATAGTTGGTGGATAGTAATAAGGTCCTCCATTAACTTATGCCCATTACTATAATTATTACTTTAAAATTGATAAGTCAAATTAACACAAAAAGTTTATAAGTTAAAAGTTAGAACAGTACTTTTACTTGTCTCTATCTTAAACATTTATATTACAATATTTTAATTTTTTCTATTTCTTTTTTTAAATTTGGTTTTTTAAACCCCTCAAGCCGAGTTACCCTAATATACACACAGATGTCAAGACATGTGCAAAAAGTGACTGACAAGCCACAAGCATTGTCCACACGTACAATGCTGTAATTGTGAAGGATGCCATCAAGTGGGGCATCCGCATCTTCATCCCCATCCCCATCCTCGTCCTCATCCTCGTTCTTATCCTCATCCTCGTCCTCGTCCTCGCTTCGTCCTGTGGATCCACCACTACCTCTTCCGCCCCCTCTTTCCCCATTGCCATCGCCATGTGGCCCTGCATGTGTGCAGTGTATTTTAAGCCCGAGCACTCAAACCAAAAGTGTTTAAGCCAAAAAAAAGAGATAGGGACAGCAGGCAGGAGGCCTCGTACTCATCCTCGGCCAAGTTTCAACGTCTCTGGTGACAGTTGACGGTCAAGTGGCCACTGGCAAGGATCCGAGACCATGTACCATGCACCATGGTCCATGCTGCGTCCTTTGACATTGTGTGTCATCAATTTTGAATTAATTTTAGCAATTTTCGCAGTTTTCTATCCGAAACTTTGCGCCCTCGCCTTTCGCAGCGAAACTTTGTTAAATGAACTTTTTTCGCACTTGCCCTGCTGCCACGAGTTGTTAATATTTTACGTGCACTTGCCACTCAATCCGGGGCAGTAGAGGGTTAAGAGATCTGGCGATGGGGATTGAGGGTTGGGGGTTGGGGGTTGGGGATATGGACATTGAAATTTATGCGCCATTGAGTTGCTGTTGCACAAAATGGCAAATGGCAAATGGCGAATTGCGAATGGCGCATTCAGCAACAAATTGCGCGAACATGCTCAAAACTTGCCAGCTCACACTAACAAACAAAATCACGAGCCAGACAATTTTCAACTGCTTTCAATGCGGACAATTAGAGTGACGGAAAAACCCCACATTTTTCACCCACCCGCGGGCACTTGAGAAACTTGAGCATAAGTTGTTAGTTGTGAATGCATTTCTGTTGCTCGGCAAACTCTGCATAAAATGTGCCACAAAGAAAAGATGCCAAAATATGCTAAATGTGACGAGGAGCGAGACCTGGATTTAAATACAATTGCGGGGAAACTTAGCGAGTTTTCCTTTTGTCCTAAACTCCTAGAGGTAACCTCAGCCTCAGAAAACATAGTTTTTTTTGCAGACTACGCGTTTCAAATCTTTGTAAATTCGCTTTATAAAATCTAATTTTAAAATATTATACCTTTCCATGCTTCGTTCGATGAGTTTCTTAACTCTTCTTTAAATCTGTTAATGCAAATGTAACTCATCTTGCTGAGGGTATAGTAATTGCAGTTAAAAGCTTGCAACGCAAACTTTCTTACTTTTAAAGCTAATTTCTCATTTATCCATTGACAATTTAATACCAGAAGCTTGAAAGTATATATTAATATTTTACACACTCACCACTGGATTGGAGCCCATTTTGACGTTCTTGGCCATGTCCATCATATCCAGGGCCACCCGTGCCATGCACTTGGCATGATCCTCGCAGTGGTCGGGCAGCCCGGAAACGGCCATGTACTTATCCCCAACCGTTTCCACCTGAAAGCACAGACATGCCAATGAGTCCTTTAAGGTCTGTGTGTGTGTGTCTGTGTGTGTGTATGTATGTGTGTGTAAGCGATTGGCCAAATTGAGAGCTGACCCGAAAGAGGAACGGAATTGCAGCGTTTTTGTGGCCAGGTAAAAAGTGTAATTAAGTGGCCATCAGCTCGTGGCACTTGCATTTGAACTTGGACCCACCTTGTACACGTTCAGGTTTCGCTTGGAGTCGGTGAGCGCGTCGAAGACTGTATAGAGCTCGTTCAGCATTTTCACGATTTTCATGGCCCCATCGGGATCCGTGTTGGCCGCACAGTACTGGCCAAAGCCCACGATGCCGGAAAACATCAGCGTCACGGAGTCATAGCTGTCGAAACGGGAGAGGAAGTGTGTTCCCATAAATAAACGGGAACAAATATGGCAAATTGTTTGCATTTTCCAGCAAGTGGAGATGGTGGTGCACAGAGAAAAAATCGGAGTAACCGAAGTTGCAGTTACAATCGAAAATGAAAGTCCCAACTGGTTAAATAACAAATAACACATATTCATTTTAATTATTTGAAATGTGAGCCTCTAACTTCTATGGCTTATTTTTATTTTTCAAGTCTCTGAATCATTTTCTTCTGTGCATTTCCCAAAAGGATAAAGGAAATTGACTTTTTCTTACCGTTTCGGCGGCACTGGACGCTGGTGTCGTAACTCATTGGCCACCGACTTTGGCAGCACCGAATAGAGCAGCCTGTTCAGCAGCAGAAAGAATGCAGAAACATGGAAAAGTAATTTCAATTTCGCGCCTGAGAGAATGGCGCGCCATTAAGGAGTCGGCCCTGTCATTTGTCATTTACCTGTCGGTCTTCTGCTTCTCGCTCTCCAGATCGCGGAAGGTTTGCTGCAGCTTGTCGGTGAGCATTTCCAGGTTCTTGGTGAGCTTGTACTCCGCCTCGAATTTCTCGGAGAGCAGGACCAAATCCCTGGCAGCGTCGTGCAGCGGCACATCCGAGATGTAGAGTCCCTTCCTGCAAAACAGGACACATTCCACGTTCCGGTGAGTTCAGAGATGGGGCACGTGGGTGTAAAATGGAAAAATGACACGCATTTTGTTTTACTTAAGACTTTTTGAAATCGCCTGGCAGGAAATAGAAGCAGTGTGAAGTGAAATACAGGACAAGAAAGGAGTTGGGGCTCGGAAAACATTTTTAATGTCTCCCATAAATTTAGCCGGCTGAAGGCGCATTTGTTACAATTTGACTGCGTGTATAAAACCTTTAGGTTATTCCCTAATACCCACATTTAAGAGCTAATGTCTTTAATATGGGCATACTCAAAAAATTAAATCAGCAAAGGACACATGAGCAAGATTTTTATGATGCCTTCGAAACATTTAAGAAGGAAATGTTTGGTGGGTAAATCTAACAATGTTTTTCCGGGAATAAAAGCAATTGAAATTTTTGGCAACGCGTAAAAGCCATATTAATATCTTAAGTTAAATAGTGAGCTAATTTCGCTCTTTAACGAAAAATATTTAACCAATTCCAGAAGTGATTTATAAAGACTCCCTCTCAGAATCACCAAGAATTCATACTTACTTGGTCAGATCGTCGAGATTCATGACACTGGGGTAGCATTGAAACAGGATCCGATCCGTTTCCGGAATGTACATCATTTGACCCTGTGGAGCACAAAAGAAGAAAAGATTATTTTTGGGGGCGAGGGGTAAGCCGTTGCAATAAAATTGGTTTTTATGCCGCACTCTGTGGCAGGCCAGGCATTAAGTTTAATACACAGGGGCGGCTGTGCGTAAGGGGCCATTTGGATCCAGGATTTTCATAACCGTCCCAGACACTTTGATGGCTTATTGGCCCATGCTCACCTTCAGTCTCAGGAATCGCTGCTCGTGCCGGCTGCTCATGGCCCCCTGTCGAGTCTGCAGGACATAGATGGTGTTTATGTGGGACAGGATGTTCTCGAAGTTGAGCTGCAGGTGCGGCCGGATGGCCTCCACCACCTCTATCAGGGAACAGTTCTCCTCGGCGACTCTGCGGGGGACAGAGAAAAAAGCATTTTGATTTTAAAATAGCCGAGAATGGATTTACAAGATGAAATAAATATGAGTTGGCAAAAATAAACCCAATTGTTTGCCTTCAATAGTGAAACGCGTGTTCTTCAATTTGGCTGCCTTAATAATTAGGTACAAAAAACACATAAAATATGTACGACTATCTCGTAAATCAGTTATAATTTGAACTATAATGATTATTTCTTTTTGTGCACGAATTGAAGAAGGGGGAGAAGCAAATCCGAGTAGCCTCAGTCCTAATGGCCACTAATCGCAAACAATGGGTCATAAGCAAATGGCAGCAAGGACTCACCTGGGAATTACTCGAGACACAGCCTTGCCGGCCTGAACGATTTTCATTTGCCTATCGAACATCAGGTGGAAAGGGAACACCTTGCAGAATGTGGAGGGCGATATGAGGGGTGCTAAATGAGGAGGACAAATGCAGATTAGCCAGGCAAACAGACTAAGTAACGCACTCACCTTCGCAGAGGAATTCCATGTCATCGGGCACCTCGTCCTTTTTGGCATCATCCTGTGACTTGGCCGCCACATTGATCTCTCGTATCAGGAATTGCACGTGGTCATATCGCTCGATGTCGTCACTCTTGTTCTTCAGCAGCCGCAGGCACTTCTGCTCCTTATCCCCATCGCAGTCGAAACTATCCTGGGCAATGGGACACGTGTTTAGTGCTATGGCGGGCTCTGAAAATAAATATATATAAAACAATTAAAATAATAAATGTAAGTTGACAATTCAAGATATTTTAAAGGGTTTAAATTATTATAAAAGTATAAATCAAATACCTAAACACAAATTGAAAGAGAATCAAAGCTAGAGATAAAGACTCATCAAAAAACTATTTTTTCACAGATCTAAAAACTGTGAGCTCTATAATTCAATTAATCTAGTGGGTCGCAAAAATGCATTTCCGTATAAGAGCACTGCCACTTTTTTGCAACTTAATTGGATCAATAATAATTACTTTATAGATAACAAAAAATGATTCTAGCTGAATTTCTATTTTGCTGTCAATACTAAAAGCCAAACTCAGCCGTCAAATTGTATTAAAATCAGAGAATGTCACAAAGTTTTTTCATTATTATTCTCGTAGGTTTCACAAATAAATGAATAAATAAAAAGCACGGGCAGTCAATACAATTTACATTTATTGTCATTCCAGGTCTGTGAATTCCGCAATATGTTAATCGTTGCGACTATTTTTATTATTTATTTTGCTTTTATGTGGACTTCAGTTACCTGTCTCGCTGGCAATCTGTTGGCCATCGTTGTTGTTATTGACGTTGGCGTTGTTGGCCACTCCATTATTGCTGCTGCCATTGTGATTATTGTTTCGCTCGGCATCCGTCGAAGGAGCCAGGACTACCGTTGCCGATCCCGTCGTCGTCGCCGTCGCCTCGTCCTGCAACTGCTGATTTTCCCGGGCGATGGCCCGCTCCTTTTCGGCCTCGTCGATGGGCTCTCCCTTGCGCTTGACAATGTCGATTTCCACCTCGACGCCATGCAGCTTGGATGCAACGGCCTGTGGGCGAAAGATATAAGATATAGCCGGAGCGGAGGCGTCAATGGGTCGCCGACTGGGCAGCGGGAATGGGAATGGGAAGGGCATCGGGAATGGCCCTGTCCATATATAATACATATAAAGCGCCTCACCTTGACGATGCCGATGACGATGTGCTCGAGGCCCGGCCGCTCCGAGTAGTAATGGAGGAGCAGCTCGCCATCCTTCTCCGTGCAGCGGAAGGAGGGGGCCCGCATTCCAGGGTACAGGGTGCCCAGGTGGTCGTGCAGGGCATCGAGATTCTGATGGTTACACAGAGAGAAAGGAAAGCCACGAATTGAATATATTATACTAATTTAAATTACTAATTTATCAAAAGGAAAAATTGTATATCTTTTTGAAAAGATAAGACAATAAACTATATGATAATAATAATAATTTACATTTATTAAAAATATTTATGAAGTTGTTAACATATCAGTTAAAAAAGGATAAGCTCTGGCCTTGCATCATTATAATAAGCATCCTTAAATTCGGCAAATAAATATATATAAACTCAACTGAAAAGCTTTAAATGTCAGCATAGAGCAATTGATGCGATAAATATGTTAAAAATATCTTTGTACTATTTGCGAAACATCATGCTAGCCAAGGAATTTGGTCTGAATAAATGACCAATATTTTTGTTCGCATTTGTTCACTGTGTGGCATTGTTGTTGTTCATGTTGCGGTGGCGCAGACGAAAAAATTCAATTTCATTTTTCATTATGACAAAGGATTCGAGGAGCATTTGCGGTGAAAAATGTGGAAAATTGAAAATAAATCGAATGTGAGTGCAACAAAAGGCGTCGAGGGAAATGGGTTACGGTTTGAGTGGGCGATGTGTGCGCTCAAGCAAAATACTTAATGCTTATCAATGATGGCGAATGTCGAACTCGATGACTGAGACTGGGAAACTGCCAAGGGAGCAGCATGAAAAATGACTTGAAAGTCGATTGGCCAATGCAATTGTGCCGCAGATGCATGGGAGATGGGTGTGAAATGGCCTTCAATTAAGTTAACTGCGGGATATACTGCGTAAATATCCCAATACCTGAAGGAAATCCCGTGGCGTGGCTCCCAGCACTTGGAGGATCTTGTCGTAGCCCGAGTCCTGGCAGAACTCGAAGAAGGTCTTGCCAAAAAGCTCCAGGATGTCATCTGCGGGAATATCTTCAAGGATAAAGGGAGACAGACATTAACGAGCTGGTCCTTTATGGCCCACATATGGTTAAATACAATGAAAAACCAGAAAGCGGCATCAGCCAACTACTTACTGAGTATCTCGACAGCTGCTCCAATTAGATTGTATGTTATCTCATCGTCGTAAATTTGTCGCACCAGAAACTGCCCCTCCATGCTGACCATGGCCTTTTTCCTGGGTTCCAGGCCGAGCCAAAAATAAGCAGCCATCAAAATCGAGTCAGGCGAAACCGCAAATATGAAATGACAGAGAAGGGTTTTCCCCACAAAAGGAAAAGGAGAGTGGCAAATACATTAATTTTAATTAAATTGCTTCTGTGCTCGTGAATTTATGAGTGAGTGGCTGGCATTCCTCCATTCTGTGTGTTTTTGTGTATTTTTTGGCGGGGCTACTGCCCATATGGCGGTCACTTTATATGCCCTTTCATATTTATGTTTTTAATTAAGCAATGAAGACAAAATAAAGCCCTTCAAATGAGAATTTTCGGTCAGCCAAAAAATGTGGCGAGGTTTACAGCTTTCCTTTTTCAAGGGAAGAAATGTAAAATGCGTCACTCTTTGTGTTCTCTTAGGGTTTTGTAGAAATTAAATATAAAAGTAGGACTGTTTGTATACTATGGAAAAAAGTTGCAATAAAAAATGATATTTTATTTAACGTTTTATAACATTAATAAAGTTTAGAATCGCCTTATTTATTTTAGTAAAACCCTGGATTTTTATACCCTTGCAGAGGGTATTATAATTTTGGTCAGAAGTTTGTAACGCAGTGAAGGAGACGTTTCCGACCCCATAAAGTATATATATTCTTGATCAGGATCAATAGGGGAGTCGATATAGCCATGTCCGTCTGTCCGTCTGTCCGTCTGTCCGTCTGTCCGTCTGTCCGTCTGTCCGTCTGTCCGTCTGTCCGTCTGTTTCAATACCGTTTGCGAGCTCAGTTTAAAAGCTAGCGATCTGAAACTTTCACAATCGTCCTAAAACATATGTACGCAGATCAAGTTTGAAAATCGCCCCGATCGGACGTCTATATCCTATAGCTCCCATAGGAACAATTGGATATATCTTGCAAGAATTTATGATATTTCGCGCAGTGTAAAAGCTATTGACATTAATCTTTACAAATCGTATTTTTTTATGCATACCTTGATCAGGGTAAAAGCGCGTGGCGATCGGACGTCTATATCCTATAGCTCCCATAGGAACAATAGGGTAAAATCGGTTAAAATTTAATGATTTTTAGGATATTTCGCGCAGTTTAAAAGCTATTGACATAAATCTTTCCAAATCTTATTTTTTTATGCATACCTTGATCAGGGTAAAAGCGCGTGCCGATCGGACGTCTATATCCTATAGCTCCCATAGGAACAATAGGGTAAAATCGGTCCAAATTTGATGTTTTTCAGCATATTTCGCGCAGTGTAAAAGCTATTACCATAAATTTTTTCAAATCGTATTTTTTTAGGCATTCCTTCATCAAGGTAAAAGCTCGTGCTGATCGGACGTGTATATCCTATAGCTCCCATAGGAACAATAGGGTGAAATCGGTCAAAATTTGATGTTTTTTATTAAGAAGACTTCGGGCTTATTATTTTACACATTTGTTATTCTTTTCGCTACTTTTTCAATTTTAGCAATTGCGGCTAAGTCTGCAAGGGTATTAAAACTTCGGCTTGCCGAAGTTAGCTTCCGTCCTCGTTTTATACGAAATATATCTAGGACTAAGGCATTTCTCTTTCTTTAATTTTGTTTATGTTTCAGATGTTTCGCGAATAAATGTTTTCGTAAATTGAAAAATTTTCCACTTGAGCAGTAACTTAAAAACAACTTGCACTTTTGCCAGTTTGGCAGCACATGTGTATACTTCCTAAATATTAACTCCTGATTGTTACTATCTTTTAAGCGTTTCTTTTAAGCTAAGTACTGATTTGTTAAGTCTATTTTCATCACTGAAATCCTTTAAATACCTCTCAAAAGTTAACAGGATTTGGGCGTTAGTAATTTATATTCCTTGCAGAAACTCGGCTGCGATTTGCATTGAATAACAATAATAGCGAAAAAGAAAAGCCTTCGGTGGCTCTCTGCCACTTTCCTTTGTGAACATCGTGCAAATCGACTTTATTATTTAATAGAACTTGCGCCAAGCTGTTACCAAAACAAATTGAATACAACGTGCCGGCATAGTGAAAGTAACCCAGAGAAAGTCGGGGTAAAGCGGGAAAAACGCCAACGTTGCAGAATTGAACATGAAAATCGTGTGGGTGGGGGGTGAAATAAGAGAGAAAAAAGTAATAGAAAAGTAGATTCTGTACGTGCGAAAGTTTTTCCATTTTCCCTACGTAAACTTCTGATTTGTCGAGGCAAAGTGGGCGTGGCAACGCAGGTGAGCGAAGGCGTAGTGCGGTATTTCATTATTGCTCATTTCAAATGCGAAATGCTGTTGGATTGCAGAATGTGTCAGCAGCTGTCGCTGAAATGTGAGAAATATTTGCACCTCCAACGGGATTGAGTTGTTGCATCAGCAAGCATTTAATATAGCAGCTTCTCACATGCCCACATGCACTTACTTTATTGTAAAAGCTGATTTTAATTTCCTAAACTGCCAGCGGACATTGAATGGGAAACAGGAAGCCCAAAAGAGTTTTGGCAGCCAAGAAGGCCGAAGGAAATTCCTGCATATTACACACCAAAATGGAAATTGATTTTCGCCTTGCCATTTATTATTCTATGAAATATATTGTGTGCGGTTGAGGGTAGCACGAAATTAAACCAAGATTTATGGCAAGTGCATACATAAATTTTACGACTACAGACCTTAAAGTCGCTTAAATGGCCAGTGAAGTGGAAGTGAAGATTGCAGCCAGCTTATTAAATTATTCTGGTTTCACTTAATTGCTCAGCTGAGGTGAGAAGCTTTAAGCATCATCTGCAGGCGGGATTTTAATGCTCCTATCTGTTCCCGATTTAATTTCATAAAGTCCACACCACCGGCAAAATGTCTATCATTTTTATTGTGCCAGCAAGGCAACATTTTGCGCCGTAAATTAAATTATGCTGCACGTTTTGGCCCAGCTTACCTGCCGCCAACACTGCGTATGATTGATTTTTATTGATTTAAATGTGCGTGTCTTGTCGTCAGCCTGTGTGTGTTGGCTGTCTGTCTGTATTTCGTTGGTTTCGCCTTTTGATCGACAACTTAATTGAAAAAGTTAATGTGCGTGGAGAAAGCGAAGAAAGCGAAGAAAGCAAAATGTGTCCATTGGATTTGGGCACGTTTTTTTTTTCCTTGCTCCTAATGCAATTTGTCATTAATTCCCCTGGCACACACACAGTAAAAAGTTTGCCATTAAATTTAGCACATTTGCGGCAGCATAAGCGTCAATTAATGCGAGCTGTAAAAATTAATTACGCTCACACGCAGGCAATTTATGGTTTCTTGTTTCCTTCCTTCTTCGTGTTATTGCGTATACGCGCCGTTGGCCCGCCAAATGCAAGGCGACGCTTAGTAGCATCCTCTGTCGTCGCTTTCATTACAAATTCAATTTCCGCTGGCCAGCCCCGCCCCTCCAAACTTATTTAAATATTGTTTACTCAGTGACAACGACAGGCAGCCAAAACTAAGTGGCTTAATCTGCCAAACGGCCAAAAAGACGCCTAAGAAATATGAAAACATTTCGCGCCTAAGTAGCTTAGGCCAACGCCCAAGTGTTTTTGTTTTCCTTCGCGATTGTTGGTTTAAGTTTCACGCGCTTTGCCTTTTCAGAATCGAAAGTGTATATACACTGTGTATATATGCTGTGTACATATCCCCTTGCAGGCCACTGCTTTGGTTTTGGTAGCTCTCGCGTGTAAATATTATTATTTAATATGCCAATCGCAGAGCCACGTTTTGTGTGGATAGGGATGAAAATCCCCGGCCGGAATGCTCAACCCGTGGAATTTACGCGCCACTGACACGCTCTCTAACTCTCGTTTTCCTCGCCCTCGAATTTTCCCGTCTCATCCCCGCAAGTTTCCACATGACTCTCGCTTTTTATGGCCGGGCATTAAATCGCTTTATTATGAACTACTTGTTGACTTTTGGCAGCTGAAACTTTAAGTTGGCTTAGATGTCGAGGGAGTGGGCCTCCGGACAAGCCGCAAAGTGTATAAAATCCATAATCAATCAGCTAATTCGAGTCAGAGTCTGACTTTTCTTGCGGTCGGATGGGAAATCCTTAATGAGTTCGTTACGAGATGAGCTGGCATTTAATTGTGGTTCGCCATTCCTCCATCTTCGACCTAACAAATCAGCCCGCAGCTGTTTCTGGCATGCACCACAAAAGTTTACGAGCATGTGGGATGCACATGCAACCAAAAGACAGCAGAGGCAACATAAATTGGAAAGGTCTTTAAGAAATATTATAAATATGTATTAAAAGAAATAGTTTCAAATTTTAAGGATTTGTTCAATTGTATTTAATATACTAATAAACGGCCTAAAATTATAGATACTTCTTTAGCTCACAAGTTAGTTCCTTTATTAACTTTAAATTATTGAAGAATGTCAATTTAATTTTATAATGAAGAATGTTTGAGTTGAGTAACTTAATCTTTTTAAGTCGGTAAGTATAAGAGCGATTATTTTTACCTCAACTGTACACATGTGTGTACATATTGCGCCCACTAAAATGCTTTACACACACATTTGGCATGTACGAACTTAAACTAGCCGACATTAGTGCATTTTCTTGGCAGGCACTTAGCTAAAGAGCAAATGGAGAGAAGTCGCAGGAACTCATCCTGTTCGACCTCGTTCCGAGGTGAGAAGGGATTCCCGGCATAATGTGCCTTACTTGGTTTAATGATGCCAGCTAAATGCCTGCACTCAGTGGAATAGAGTATGCCACAGTCAGCTCTAGACAAGCGAACTTGCATTTGAAATTGGCCAAGTAGCTGCAACGACCCCCAAGAAAAAGGAAAAAGAACAAGAGCCACAGTAGAGCAGCACAGAAACGGAAACGGAATAAGGTTAAAAGCCACTTAAGACTCGGCAAGTTAATGTGGCACATAACTCAAGTGAGTCACATGCTTTATTGTGCCACATGGAGGATGCGGCCAAGTTGGGCCAGGGTCAAGTCGAATTAGCCAGGGCGTTGCTTTAATCGAATGCTAGAGGCGGGAAATTAACATCGAAAT